GGATTTCTAGAGGCTTTTCACAGTTATTACTGCATGTACTCATGGGAGAAAAGAAAAAGCTGTTGTTATGCTAAGAAGCTTCTATGTCCTCAGGGCAAACTCAGAAAGAGTTGGATATCTGCTCTCACTCATAGCTTCTAATAATGATAATAGGAGGGCTACCTGTAATTATAAAGGAAGAAAACAGACTTTCTTTATTGTGAATGTTACAAGAATGTGCATGTACTGTTAGTTTCAAGAGCATATCTCTAAATCTAAGAAGGACGTGGAGTGTTCCTATATAATAATAATAATTTTAAAAAGCTGTGAGGCTATTTCATTAGAAGAAATATGTTATTTTTTTTTCAAAGTACTGATCCTAGTTGGTTTTTGGAGGAGAGGAGGTTCCTCTCAGGTTTTCTTTGTTATAGAGTCCCATATAGTCCGATTAAACCATACTGATATTTAATAGTTTCTCTAAACTATGACAACTGATAAATGGGTTTTCACTCAGAAACTGCTTGATAAAAGTTTTCCTCAAGACAAGAAATTAAAAAAAAAAAAAAAAAGAGGATTTCTTTTGTGAGGAGGGAATTATTTTAGACGTATTATTCACTACTTGTAAGTGTCCCATCATGCCAAGTATTTGACTCACTTGTTTTTGTTGTTCCAGTCTTAACTCAGTGGTTGCGTTATTAAACATGAAATTCCACACTCCTGGCTGCAGCAAACTAACAAAATTACTTCTTGCCTCTCCTTTAGCTGGAAGAGGGTAGTGTCAGTACCTTGACAGGCTTATCCTATGAGACAGGAGCAAAAGGAAGGCTTTGCTTAGATCGCGGTGGTGCTTAAGAGCTGATCTTGTGTAGATTGTAGGTGAGTGCTGTTTTGTTCTGAATTGTTTATCCTTGGAGTAAGTTCAGTGCAAGGAGAGCACAGATGGATAGTGGCAGAACAGGAAAGGTTGTAACATACAGTCTCATATTAAAGTTTTACCCTTTATCTATCTAATGCTTCTGGATTCTTCAGAAACACCAATAATGAGCATCTAATGATTGATTATTGTATTCATTTTCTCACAGAACTTGAGAGATCAAGGAATTGCTTTTATGCTCATTTTACAGATTTGATAAGGCTGTGTTACAAACCCGAATGCTATGAAATTCCTGATGCCAGAGTGAATCTAAAAACGTTTGTGTTAGCGGCCGCTGTGCTTTTTGTTGCAATGGCTTTGCTGTTGGAGGTCTGCTCTGTGAATAAGATTGCGGTTAAAGAAAAAAGGAGATGAGAAATATTCTTTTTCAGAAAGAGTACTTTTTGTTTATGATGCAGCCACATATACAGTCATGCTGGTGTAGCAAGGAGATGCTACTGCCAGATGCTTTACACCATGGGGCTATGGCCTAAATACTATACTCAGGATCAGACAGGAAATATGTGTCAGAGCAAGAAACTAATCACAAGTCTTCAAATTATGCTACACAGAAAACCATCCTTTAGGTTTGATCTTCAGCTAGGTAATTTCAAATTAATTTGTTTCAGTTTTTGTTCAGATTTACTGCTTCAGTGATGGTTGCCTTCTTATTCTACTTGTAAGAGTGTCCTACCCTTTCTGCTTTGAGAAAGAGGCTAGATGGAGTAGCTTTGATTCCTTTAATAGGGCACAACTAACATTGTGAGCACTCTAAAATGCATTTTATTCCCTAAGTTTCTTCTGGGGTGCTGTTGTTATATATAATCTTCAGGGCTGAATAGTTTTGCGAAGTTAGTCTTCGTGTTATTTCCTTCTTTTTCCAAGCCCATATCTTAAACTGTTGCCTAAATTTGATCTATTTGCCTGTCTTTTACACTTGTAAACACCTTAGGGGTTTTTATAAAGGTATTTGTTTTGACAGAGTGAAGTACACATACAGAAATACAATATAAACAGACCTAATGAAAATTCTGTTTGATCCAACACTAATTGTCGTTCTTGGCTGTTCTACAGGGCAGCAGAAGCCCTATGTTTTCTGCTCTGGTTTTCATCCTGAATCACTTTAACAATAAAGATGCAACTATTTGGCTGTATCTTGTTTTTAAACATGTTTATTCATATTAAAGTAAGTTGAAATTGAAAAACTATAGACTGTTTTGTTTACTAGAGGAATCACGTTAAAATACAGAACTCGTTGATGCATTTTTCAAATCTGTCTTGACAGAAATTGTTCCTGCTCAGGCAGGAAAAGAAAAAAGGTGATCTCAAGCCTAAAACATTGGTATTAATTGAGGATGTGCTGCTATGACAGTGTTTGGTGTCGATTAGTCTTTGTGGAAAAGCTTGGAGAACATCACTTCCCAATAAGTGGTCTCCATCAGGAAAGCTGTTTTGGCTAGCTGCTGTACCTAAGCAAGTGTCTGCTGTCTAGAGTTATGTCTCCCCCGACAGATAAAGAGATATCTGTTATATCAAAAGTTGATTATGTGTAGCTGACCTGTTAGGGGAGATATTATATAGTTCTGTGGAGTAGGTTAGGTGATGCCAACTGTAGAATAGATGTGTAGTTGACAGATAGCTACTTCACTGTAAGATCATCTTCATTGTCTCCATCAACACTGTGCAAGAAAACAGCTAGAGCGTATTGGTGGTCCTCCTGTGAGGCTTTCACACCACCGTTCTGCAACAAAACTGCATCTCTGAGACCTACTGAGTACTGATGTGGGTAACATTGCACAGAGAGTGGCTTGACAGCATCAGTTTGTGTCAGGCATGCAAGTGGAGGCGAAGATCAGAGTAGGAATGTCAGGAGAGATGTAGATTAAATTCTAGGCATGTGGATTTTTATCTGAGATTATTTAATTGGAAGGAATTATTATAGAAGTGATGGAATTGCTGTAAAGTGAGGGAAAGCTCCATTTAAGGAGCATTTCAGCATTTTGAAATTACAACAATGGTACTACATTTCAGAGTTATGCTGAGGTTTTGTATTTGCTTGTTCTAAAAGGTATGTCCCAGCAATGAAGTTGAGTTTTAATCTCTTGAATTAAGTCATTTCTCCTGTTATTTTCTCTAAGAGTAAAACCTTACTGCAGATGTGAACATTGCCTATATAACACAAAAATACCTTTCAGAAAACCAGGTGAAATTATGAATGTGTAAAATTCCAAGGTATCATTTTAGTCAAAGGAAGGAGTACCATTTATGCTGCCCTGGATGTTCTGTCCAAAAGGTTTAAATTATTAGCAAGTAATTACCTGTTAGCAAGTAAAAACAATGTAGAGTATAATTTGAATTACCATTTATATTAAACAATTTATTGAAATGAGATTTCATAAAGGTTGTTATGTCATAAATTATGGCATTTATAGCTTTATGATATCAGTTATCTTTAATCTTTGGTACATTTTAACTGTCATTTAAATTGACTAAATTAAGAGATTATTGGGAAAAACATTCCTAATATTGAGATTTTAACTACTTCATTCTAAAACGTTCATCTCTGAAGTTGTGCAATTTTGCTGTTTCAATTACTTTCTCTGTTATGTTTTGGTTTGCTGTGAGAATGATTAGAAAGTGATGACAACTTTAATTGTATTACCATGAAGCGCAATGATTCACCATACCCTCATAACGTTTTAACTGAGGCAAATGCCTACTGAATCCAGAATAACGTAAATCGGTGGATTAGTTCCTGTATTGCTAAGTGTGCATGTTCTAAGTTGTAAATGTGGAAATGGATTCTAGACCAATGAGTCTTCATCTGGAATCCATCTATTTCATTGGCAACAAAAAAACTCAGTAGAAGTAAGACACCAAAGTAAATTCTTCAGCTGGAAATAAAAGAGAAGATTTCTTTTTTTTTTTTTTTTCCTTCAGGTTCTAATTCTACCATTTGATCATTACTTTGTTTTTCACCTTAGCAAAACCTTACACCTTCAAACCAGGAAATACGACTGTTACAAATACATCATTGTAGAGAAAAACAGGAAGAAAAATTTTGGAATATTTATTTTTTTGACCGTCTGAATTATAGGGTCACAGCACTATTTTGAAACTTGCTGAGTAGCATGTTTTGCTAAGAGCAAATATTTAAATTACAGACCAGAATCTGTTGCTTTATTATCATAACCTAATAGATGGATCAACATGTTATTATTTTTAATGTGGGCAGTGGAGCAAAGAGGAAAAGAAATATTTTAACTTTTTGAAATCCACACTCATCCAGAATGGGAAGCAACTACTTCACTCACTCTATTGGAAATTATGCTAGATTAGCAGGATGAAAATATGGTGAAGTTAATAGTAGCAGCAGACTAGATCTATGTTTGAATCTATGTATGAATAGATCTATGTAGTATTTTTGCAAGACTCCCAGTTAAAAGCAGCACACATCATTCTAGTGAGTGCATTTCTTGAAAATAGAGAGAGAAAAACCCTTGAAGCAAAAAAAAAGGAAGGGCATGGTATTTACTTCCATTTGCTGTACTTTCAACCACAGATTTAGCTGAAACCAAAAATGCATATTTAATAGAATTGAGAGCACAGAAAGGAAAATATAATTATTGGTATGAAATACAGCTGTCACAGGCATATGTATTGTAGAAAACTGCTGTTTAGTATGTAGTGTAGCAAGGATTATTTTATTGAATAATTTTTTCCTGCATAACTGTTACATTTCTAGGGAGTTACAGTAATTGCCTGCAAGGGGGCCATATTTTCAAATCACTCTTTGTTCTGGTTCTAAAATCTTGTCCATCACTCAGTGAACTTCTTCAAAGAACAGGTATAGTAGCATGCTGTCTTCAAGGCTAGGAATGTAAGAAGTGGGAAAACTGTCTACTGGAAGTTTGTTTACAATTATCGCTGAAGAATAATTAGGTACTTTTTGACTCTTGTCATTTGTCTTATTAGGTAAACTGTACAGTGGAAACAAGCTAGCCACTTATAAACTTTCCCAGCTATGTAACTTCATAAAGTACAGCACTTCATCAAAGCAGATCCATTAACCCTCTGACTGGTATTCTTCTTTTGGCTTTGATTGCAGCACCACACAGAAGCACCTAGCCCATCATTGCTACCCGCATCGGCTTTACCATTAGATGTATTAAACAATGCCGTTGCTGGATTTAGTACTGTGGAAGAACTTATCCGGTACCTTGAACCAGATCGGTGGCAGCTGGATTTGGAAGATTTGTACAGGCCAACGTGGCAACTTCTTGGAAAGGCATATATCCATGGGAGGAAATCAAGAGGTAAGTTACTCTTCTGTCTGGCCTTGCAGCTTTCTACAGGTGTGTTTTCTTCACAAAGAAACAGTAATTAAGATCATTCTTCACCTTGAATTTTGGTTCCAAGGAAGGAATATGTTAGAAATACAGCAGAGTTCATTGTTGTTAGCTATTCTTACCATTATATTATCTGAAAAAGGACAATAACTAAACTGAAAACTGATAGGAGTTTAGCAGGATAAAGTAACAAAGAGGAAAAAAAATAGAAGCAGACAGGGTAGTTTGCTGTAGGGAACCTGGGAGGTCTTTATTTCCACAAAGTAGTGGAGCATCTTGGCTGGGTGACATGATCTGACTTCGTGGGTTTCTTTTTTTATGGAAGGCAAAATCTATATTTTTTGTGTGAGGTAGGTAATTTCTTACACTTACTGTATCATGTGAACGATTGGTTTGTTTCCTTAGAATTGTTCCAGTCTCTACACCATATGACTTGAGAATAATTAGCTCAATGTTAAATGTTTGTTTTCCATGATATCTCATGAAATCCCTGTGTCCATGTCCAGTTTGATCGTACAGTTGTCAGCTTAATCAGATGTAAAGTAGATTATGTATTTCAAGACTTGTGAAGGTCTTTCTTGTTTAGCAAGTCATTTTCTTCCACCTACATTTGACATTCATGAATTTTCTACCACATATCATCCAGATGCTGCCCACTATTTCATGTTTATGGATTCCGTGTGAATGGATAGCATGCAGGCAATACCTCCTTCCTTGCCCACCATACAGCATGAAAATGAAAACACATGAGCATAACTGAATAGACTCCTCTGTTGACAAACGTAAACTAGATTGTCATCTGATCAACAAGAAAAGGGAGGAAGTAAAACCTTTCATAACTCAAATTTAAGTTTTTGGCAGCTAATTTTTGAATCAGAGCCCAAAATTCAACACTTCTACCCTACCTTCTACCTTACAGCTATGCACACCGCAACTAAATCAAGAGTCAAAGAGGAGGAAATCTCTTTAAAAGCTTTCAGCAATGGACCATGACTTTCCGATAGTCATTTAACACTTTCCTAATTAAAGAGATTCAGTATTTGCCAAATGTATCCCATAAGCATACAGTAAGTGGGAGAAAAACAAAATGTAATTTGTGCAACCTTACATAAACTAAAATGCATGTGTTGGATAACATCTGTACAGACAAAAGCAACTCCCTGCAAGACATATCTTAGGAAGAAACTATCAGAGTAAATCTTTTAAAGACTTCTAATTAGATGCTTAAATAGATTCCCGCCTTCCCCCCCCTCCCCCCCCCGAATAAACATATCACGGTATTGCCACATTTATCTTTAAGAGACCACCCTCAGACTGCATTACTGAGTGTGTAATGTAATAGCCTGAGGTGGAAAATATGTCCACTTGAGATGACATAGTTTTAACTGTTAGGTCTATTCAATAGATAGGGAAAGCAAACCTTTATTTTTTCTTCTTCTTCTTTTAGTGTTATTTCTTCTAGTAGCGTGTTTGCTGTATTTAAAAACCTTTTAAAGAAATGTTTGGGAGAAGTGCATGCCCTAAAATGTTTGGTTTTTTTCAAACTCTTTGATTCTATGATTAATCGGTTTTATTTTTGCAATATTTCAGTGTAAAAGCTAAATTACTGTCCTGCATTCATAGACAAACATCGGTTCACATCTAGATTAAATAAAAATGTAATTAAAAGTGTATGTTACTTTATGTAGAGAAGAGTATTGTCCTCCACTCCTACTTAATAATTCATATGAAAAAGACTATATTTGGACAATCTAAATTCCACAGAACTTCTGTGTCTCGTGTCTTCTCTGGGTAAAATGCTTCCAAAAACTTCTAGCCAGGAAAGAAGAAACACCAAGTTCAGAGATTTTGTCTAAATATACTCTTAAATTCTTTTACAATATTAAACATCCTTAAAAATAAATATATTTTGCTGTGCAAAGAAATAATCCCATCGCTTCCCACAGAAATCTATGCATAATCATTAGACCATATTCTGAAGTCTGCTAAGAAGGAGAGTCACAATCCAACCATAGTCCTTAGTAGATGCTTTTCTTGTATAGTTACGTGACTTTTTTTTTGTTTTTTTTTAGTCCTTGCTTGGGGTTTTCTAACAGCCCTGTCGCATTATAGGAGCCAGGAAGAAACTTAGACTCCCAGGAACATCTCCAAGGTGCTTAGGAATTAAAACCATCCTGCTGCTATCTGTGCCAGCACACAAGTGCCCCAACCAGAATTTAATTTGTTTCATTGACTTTGAGAGCAGCATCCAGCTGGAAAAGTGTTTTGGGAAAGACAGTTCCCTGGGGTACTTGATACTTGTTCCAGAAGATGCCAGACGGTTGCATTGCCAGTTGGAGAACACAGTTACTTTGAGGGTGGTGTGAACATGGATTACTTTAGTTGTACGTGCCAGTGAAGGCACCCTTTTGAAACAGACTTTACTGTAGACCTACCTGCATCTACATTTTCTTCTCCCTTTTTTTTTCTTCTCCTCATATTTTTAATTTAGTGTTTCCCATTCATGTGCTACTGCAGAGCCTTCCATTCCTCCTGAGCTAGTGCTAGACAAAAGAACTTTGACTGTTGTGTCAAACATGATACATGAGTGGAAGCCAATTTGAAGGAGTGTTTAAATATTCACATTATAACAGGTACCGTAACTCAGTGCACTTGGGAAATCCACATAACCTTTTCTTGTGGTTAAGTAAACACTTTTAAGGGAATATATACATTCTCTCATCTAGCTTCGTGCCCACAGTGTGTTAAAATAAATTTTGAACAGACAGATACTCTTTGAAAAAATAACAGCTTCATTCACACACTTCAAAGAAGTGATTATATTAGCACTAGATAAATTTGCCACAGACCTTTTAATGAAATTGAATTACATAAGGTAGGGCAAGGGTTCATTGTGAGGTATAATAGCAGTATACCTTAGTACATTGTAAAGCATGGAAACCAAGCATGACATTTTTCAGCTCTCCTGAAGCCTATTGTAACAGTAAGGCACACTGAAAGATATCTGCTAAAAGCTGATGGCACATTCTTCCACAGAACCTTTTTAAAATTTGGGTCTGCAGATCTGAGGGGTTCAGTTCAAATTCGTTCAAATTTTGTGATAAAACATGTAATACACTGGCTGCTCATTTTAGTGCATTGCCCTTTTGTCTATGTTATAACTACAGCTAGTGCTAGTAAATGGGTGCATTCGTCTGCTGCTGCCAGTAGGCAGGAGGTAATGGAGAAGCACAATGCCACGCAGGCATCTCTTTCCCACTGGTTGGTGGGCTTGCTGGAAGAGGCATCAGTGCCCAGCTCCCAATTTCATTTTCTCATGGTGAAGAGCTGAGCAGCAGCGGTGTTAGGATGTATAGGTTTATCTTCTTGAAATTCACTGTACCAAGCATGTCAGACTCTGCAGAAATCCACCAGTAGAAAGTATTAGCAGAGCTAGCATTTTCTTATTGTGCTTTAGGCATTTTATCCTCATTTAGACAGTTCACTTATTATATGTTTGAAAACATAACAGGAGAAAGAAGTACTCCATTTCTATCCACGGTCCTTGATTAATGGAGGTAGACATGTCCACCCTCTAAATGACTCAGCCTAGAGCTATTAAGCTGATCAGAAGAGCTTAAATCATTTCTAATTTCTCACAGTGAATCTCTTCCCTGGAAGTTTTTTCTCTCTTTTCCTCTGCTCCCTGCTCAGCTTTCTCTAAGGAATGCTCTTGCAGTGTGGGAGGCGGGCTGGCGTCCTATCAGTAACTTTATTGGAGTTATTACACACTCCTTGCTTTTAAAAATCAGATTGTTTATTTAGGAGCCTATGTTAACCTGATAGTGATGGAATGAAGTGCCCCAGCTTGGTATTCACCGTAAGTACAAGCAGAGAAAAGGCTTCAGTGTGTTTAACTGACCTTTCACAACAATAAACCCTTACTTATGGATGCCAGTATATGGATACAGTCTGCAAAAGAAATGTTTGAAGAAACATGGAATTAAATTGATGCCCAAAGATCTGCTCCTGGGACAGCAAGCATTTCTACTATAGAAATGCAGCTTTTAAATTGTCTTTATTTTTTACATGTTTAAATAGAGTTGAGAGGTATTATCTTGCCTTACCAGGCTGAAGTTCTCCTTGGTGATCTCTGGAGGCTCTTTACATAGTAGAGGGTGATTCAGATCAGGAACATATTTTAGCTTTATTTTAAATCTTTTTATTTACAAACTGCTAGCAATAGCTATAAAGTATTTGTTAAGTAATACCAATGCACTGGGATTTTTTTCTCCCTAGTTTCTTCTTGATTTAACCAGCTGGTTTAAAGGTCTTTGGTGCTTTGTTCAAGACCTCTATTTCAGTCATCTCAGTAGCCATATTATCTTAGAATTTTCTTTATCTTTTTTCACCAGATAAAGTACTCCTGTGAATTAGATATTATCTCTGTTCCTTAATGCTGGTATGTTTGGAAAGAAACAGTTCAGTCAAAAGATCCCAGATCATGATCATTATAGTCTGGCTTTTTTCTGAAATAAATGAAATTATATTGCTCTTCACCAAAGTAAAAAATTTATTAATTTTTTCATGAAACCAATCCCCTTTTTTTTCAGACTTAACTACCTCTTTCAAGGCCTGTTACTTCTTGGCTATGCAGCTGAGGTGAACCCAAAGGAGATTTCCCTATTTCAGATCTTGTCATGAGCTTGCCGTTCAACCACTGGCATAGTGAAACTTTAGTGTGATACAGTGGAATCAGTTTAGAGGGAAACTGGTGCCAAATATTAATGTCTTTAACTTGCACTTCAACTTAGGTGCTTACAGAAAGGAGCTGTATTTTATTTAAGACACACCAAGTGAAAATGAGATGTAGAGAAGCAACAGAAATTCATATATATGCTGCTATGAAGGAGGAGGGGAAAAATGGAGCCTACTAACAGTTCTAAAGATACACATACTTGTGCACTTATTTGTTATCTGTGCGGTATTCACTGATCATGACATAACTTCTTGAAGTTCTTAGTCCATAGAAGTGAGTTCCTCTTAGATATAAATGGTTTGATTCTTTCTTACACTTACGTTACCCTTGCAAAGAAGCAATAATTGAAATTTTAGCAGGGAAGAAGTTTGAATGCTTTATGCAAATGAATCAAAAGTGTGTTTGGAGGTTTGCAGGATTCTTAATTGCTGTGTGTGTTTCTCCAATCCAAAATTAATCTAGAATAGCAACATTAGAGTTCAGAGTCTGAGTGAGAACCAAGGGAACTCCATTAGGGTTGTATGATAAAATATTTATTGGAACATAGTAGCCAAAACTTGCTTTGTTAAATTTGAACCAACTCTGCCAGAGTTATAAAATAATTGGTGAATATTCCTCTACAATGATCATTCCATTTAGGTTTCGTGGTATTCGTTATTAGACTTGTGTGCTGAACCTGTACCACCTGCACAAAAATGAACTTTCTTCAAGGGTTCTGCACTGCTGCAGTTGGTTTACCACCAGTGAAGTTGGATTACGAATCAGAAAAGCACCAGTTTGTTTGTCTTTTTGCAGTGGTCGATCTCAACCTCCTAAAGGAGGAGGTGCGGCTGTATAGTTGTACTCCACGCAACTTCTCAGTGTCACTGAGGGAGGAGCTGAAGCGAACTGACACCATCTTCTGGCCGTTGTGTCTTCTGGTTAAACGTTGTGGCGGAAACTGTGCCTGTTGTCATCAGAGTTGCAATGAGTGCCAATGTGTACCAACAAAAGTCACCAAAAAATACCACGAGGTATGCACTCTTTTTACATTTGCATGTTTGGAAATACTGAAAACCAATTAAGGAATTTATTTTTACTATGACAATGCACCAATATTCATATTTTAAACTTTTATGTATTGCACTTGTAGTAAATATTTTTTACCATTTTTTATGAGATGTTACATAAGAAAAGTAATACCTTCCTTGTTAAAATACTTTTCTTTGGAACTGTTTAGTCATTCCTGAGGTATTTGTTTACTGGTGCAGTTCAGACACATCACAACCACACCTCCTTATTCAACTTTCTGTAGTGGTAGATGTGAACTTTCTGAAGAAACAGATATCTGTCCATTTCCATTGTTATAAATCTATAGCTAAATTTTTTTATTATAGAATTATCTAATGGTTCCGTTGTGTTAACTATACTATTAGCCCTTAAGTAAAATTAAGTAGAAATATGAACTGCAAGAGTCTCTTCTTTGACAAAAGCAACTATCTGTTCAACGTGTTTCAATCGATTTTGTAAAGGGCTTGAGGTAAAAGCAAAAATAATAATTAGTGGGTGGAATAAATAAAGAAATTCAGCTGAGGAAAGCCTGTTTATTTTAATATGCTTCCTGTTATCCAGAGTGTTGCCAGCATGATCTAGCTCAAGGTCTAGGTGCGTGATGGAGCACTTGCTGTTTTCTTGATGCTTGGCTTCTTCTTCTTCTTCAGGTTCTTCAGCTGAAGCCGAGGATTGGCGTTCGGGGATTGCATAAATCATTGACAGATGTGCCCTTGGAACACCACGAGGAGTGTGACTGTGTGTGCAAAGGCAATACTGAAGGATAAATATGATTTAATTGTGCTGTTTTCTTTCAAAGCACATTCAATCAATGGCTGATTCTATTATGGGGCTTGTGCATTATCTCCTTCTGTAATCTCAGTTGTTTGCTTTGGGGATCTTCCATCTTCAAGATTTACAGTGAGCTCTAAAAAGAGGAGAAGCAAACTGGGATTATATGTTCTGTGACAGCTCTGTTTGGAGGCCCAGTGAAAGGATGGGAGAAAGGCATCAATAAGGGATTTAAAATATATGTATTGTTTTTGTCCCCCACAATTTTCTTGACAATACATGGATTTATAATTTAGGAGTAAAAATAAAGTTAGAAGGCTCACATCATGGAGACGTGATCCTGCTTGCTGTCTCATTTCTACAGCTCCAGTACATCTGGCCTCTGGTTGAAAACACCTGAAATCTATCTTTCTGCGTTCAACTACTCGTATGTACTCTAAATCGAAGTGTTCTCTGTTGTATAAACTTGGGTTAAAACAGACTGTCTTGTTCCAAATTAAACTTAATTTGTCTATTGCTGGTAGGAAGGACTGGATTTTTCCATACGCTCTAGTAAAGCTCCTGCCTTTTAGAAAGAAGACTGGACAATAACGTGAGCTAAGGAAGCAAACATTGAAAACAACAGCGCCTTTATTCTTACTACTATGGCTGATGATTTTTTGTTTGTTTGTTATTTTTTATCGTGTACATTTTTATACTCTCCTTTTGACAGTATAACTATTTGCTTTTCTAAACTTGTTAAATATATCTATTTTTACCAAAGGTATTTAATATTCTTTTTTTATTACAACCTAGATCAACTATTTTTTAGTTTTGTGAGACTTTAAAGCCAGATTTATACAGTTGGAGGATCAGAGATGTGGTTACGATGGGAAAGGAGCATGATCTCTTTACAGTTTATTGCTACACAGTGAAAAAATATGTGGTTTTTTTTTTTTTTACCTGGATGAACAGTAATAATAGAGATGTGTGGAAGAAGCTCTAAGCTTGCTAGCTCCATGACACTGAAAATACGAGAGACAGACATTACTGTAAGTGGTTTCAGAAGCTGACTTTAAAAATTCCCTCTCTCCGTACTGACCTTTGTTCAGGTAGAAAAGAAATGAGCATAGGTAGATGCATTCTGGGTTGTTTAACTCTTTAATTTCTTTAAATTAGGATGATCTACAATGTAAGAAAAGAAGCCCAGTGGCTTGCAGCCTTCATGATGTGTCATGGTCATGGGAAGGCAGCCTTGTTAATGTTGAAGTGTATGGTTTTCCATTGACAGTTGTAGCTGTTTAAGTACTGTTCACTCACAGGATCGTAACACTGTTCAGTACAATTTGATGAGCTATGGTTTTGTTGTTCTGTATGTTATATTCTTTAACCAATACACTTATCCCACCCTATGCAAATTGAAAAGGAAACAGTAAAGTATTTTGCTTGTAAAATGCTTTAACATTATGCCTAGTTTATTTTTTTGACCATTGGATTTGCAGATTGTAATGAATCACCAAATAAAGTAATAATGCTAATTTTGGGAGAATAAATGTTTCTGTGTGGTTGCATATTTGTATCTGTTCAATATACAATAACAGGAAAAGTTAGAGAGTGACTTTCTACTTAACATTTTGAAAGTCAGTTATGAAAACAAAAGTCTTCTGTTACCAAGACTTCCACTTGCTTTATTAATTCTGCTTTACTGTAAATCCGCAAGAAGAAAAAGGGAAAAGAAAGAATGTGGTGCTGTTTGTATAAACATTCAAAATGTTCAAAATTGTGGGGATGTGAAGCCATCAAATTGAAATGACATCTTCTGTTACTGTTTCCATCGTGAAAATGAGTTCTAATGAAATGTGGAGGTTTTTGCAAGTTGATACGACTTTCTGTACCAGTTGTGGAAAATTCTCAGGTGGCTTCTGATTCTGTCTTAGCTGGTCTGTTTTGCCACACCCTCAACCTCCTACTGAATAAGAAAAGTATCTGGTGTAACTGTAGCATACAGTTATCCAGTCTGAATATTAACCCTGTCTCAGAATGCAGAGTTATGGTCACACAAGAAACCTGGTTTACTTGAATTTTGAGTCTTTGACCAAAACAAAGAGTGTTTTGCAGGGATGTTGAGGATTTTTTTGCATTAATATTGTCCTTTTTTTTGTGATTTAAAGAGATTTTGAAAAGCAAGTTGAGATAAAAGCAGAAATTATAGCCTCTGGCATCATAATTCAGCAGAAGAATTGAAAAATGTAATTCTGTTACAGAAATTTCTGCTGTAGGAAATGCAGGAGGTCTCATCCCCTCTATAGACTTGCTAGTAGAAGAAGGCATGACATGCCTTTTGGAGTAGGTGTTTGGTGGCAGCAGAGGAATGTGGAGTTTCTGGAACCATACAGGGTATGGAGGGTAATGTTTTCCAAAAGTCATGTGTGTTTCTTCTATTGCCCGCCTCTGGCTTCGGCTCACTTTCTTCCTTGCTGATTTCTTGCACCAGTTTCCTTCCCAATTGCTTGCTATAGGTCTGTATCTGAACTCCACATCCCTTTGCTCTTTACATCCCCTTTCAGTTGCTGTCTCTCTCATCTGATCCAAACTATCCATCCCTCCTGTTTGCCATCCTCTTGCCAAGCATCTTTAAGCTCTTCCCCTCCTCCTTGGCTCTGTGTCTTCTCACTACCACTGCCTGGACTTTTTTTTTTCCACCTCCCCTCAGATATTCAGGGGATTTAGCCCTCCACCTCTTCCCTAGCTTTAAAGAGTACAGCTCAGTTGTTTTAAAGGATGGGGTTTGGGAAAGATACCAAGTGAGCAAAGCAAGGAAGGGTGCAGTTCTCCTGCTCTGTGCTATGTCCTCTGTCCTGCTGGGTAGAGCAGCTGCCGCCCGGCAGTGGGTAAGTCCTGCTGGTGATCTGATGGGATGCACCCATACTGCGTCCTGCCTGGATACCTGGGTGTGCTAGGCTTCGTCTAGAGATCCTGCCAAGTTTTCTGTGGTTTTTGCACCCGGAAGAGTCTTAAAATGTTTTGAAGATGTCCTTCTGACAGCGCAGGGGAGCTGCTGTCACAACAATAAATCGTGTCGGTGACCTCCCGTTGGCGGGAAAGGGTGAGGTGAGGTGAAATACGTGGGACGAGGCAAAGAAGGGTGAGGTGAGGGAGCGTGGGTGGGCTTGACCAGGCCAGGGCCACTGCAGGCCAAAAATATATAGCCGAAAATATAGCAGAAAAGGAAAAGAGAGAAAGAGTGCTAATGACCATAGTCTCCTAATTTGCTGACAGCTCCTAATTTGCTGATGGACGTCTCCCCCGCGGTGAGGCCTGTAGTTCCCTTGACACCTTCCTCCCTTGGCAGGTTTTGTCAGCCCCAGGTAGCAAGCTTTGATCTTATATCTTTGTGGAGATTTTTTTAAATTGTTCCTGTCTATTTTAAGCTGTGAGTTGCTGAACTGCATTGATGTTGTAAGCATCAGTTTTGGGGAATAAAGAGGGAATAAAATGTATCCCCCCTGCAGCTCAGCAGGCAGCATGGGGACGGTGCCGGCCGGCGGAAGGGATGAAACAGGGAGACGCACAGCTCTGGGTTTAATTGGGATGCCTTAAACATTGCCTATATTTGATCTTAAACTTTCAAAAATATACTTGATTTGCACGTAATAAACGTAGTAATTACAGTAGGTACAGTTTTAGCATAAAGGGATTATTTCACACTGTACTAACAGAAACAATTGCCTAACTTTACCTCTCCTAATTTGCTGAAAATTCCTTCACTGAGATTTTAATTTCTCCCTATGAAGATTTTCTTACCCAGAGATGAAATTTTTCAGTCAGGTGTTTCTGAGGAGTGTTAACTTCTTGCAGCCTCGAAGTGAGCCGAGGCTTGTTACACCTACAGTTACAGCGTTCAGCAAATGCTCCTCTGAGGGTTTTGTTTCATTATTGTTATTTATGTTCTGTTGTTTCTAAGCAAAAACTGTGGTAAAAACTAACTCAAGGTATTAATCATGAATTACTAACAAGCAAACGACAGTGCCTTTCACAGTTACAGGTCATCACAGCTGAATGCCAAGGATTGACAAAAGTGTGTAGAAAACCTGTGATTTTTCAATGTGAAATAGAAGTTGCAAGCTTTGATCTTACATCTTTGTGGAGGTTTTTTTTAAATTGTTACTGTCTATTTTACAGCATGAGTTGCTGAACTTTATTAATGTTGTAAGCATCAGTGAATAAAGAGGGAATAAAATGACTGTTTCCAATCGGCCTAAGCAGTGGAAACAGCTGAGTGGAATAAAGTAGCTCCTGTAAACAGACAAAATCCAAATAGCGTGGGCTGCATTTTGTAGGTTTTATCTTATTCCCAATAAATGGCTTTGGCTAAAAGGAATTATTCCCCCCCCCCCGGGGGAATAGGGGGGGAGCTGCAACCGATGGTGAGCCTTGTTTTTATGGATTCTGTAGATATTTGCATTCCTGGAACCTTCCTGTCAGCCATGGCTGGCATGGGAGTGATGTGGAGCAGCACCAAAACTTTAGTCACCAAGGGCGTTAACTGCAGATCTGTTGGCTTTTAAACTCTTTTAAGTTTCCTCGCTCTTTGTCTGCCCCATTGCACAAGCTCACAGCTCCTTTTCAGCAGAAAAGGAGAAAAAAAAAAATATTGTGGATGCTACAACAGAGTGTGTGGAGGGGAAAGACAGTCAGAAGCACAAAGCTACCTTATTTAGTAGCTACTGCATCAGCTAATGTAAGCTGTTTACTCAATTTTTCTTTCTAACAGAGGACTGTGTTGAAACTCTTATAAATTTGCAATTCAGATACTAGCTGCTTAAATAGGTTCATTTTGATTGCACCAGACTCTGGAAATTAAAATTGGAAACATTTGCTTTCTATTTGACTTCTGAAGATACCGTAGTAGTGCTGTTGTTAAAAGCTCTCTCATAAAACCTCATGCAGAGATGCTAAAAGAATCATGTTTGCAAGATTCTTGTTCAAACCAAGCTCTGAAGCTAAGAAGACCAACTTATTTTTCTGATGCTGCTTGTGATACAATATGATATTTAAATTAGTTTGAGTAAGTTTGCTCTTCATATCATTTTTTGTATGGGATGCTTTATCAGACAACTTGCCTTTCAAAGTCCTTTCATGCACCTTTTAAACCCAGGGACCATGTTTTTGTTTGTTCATCTGCCAAAATCACGGGGTAAAAATATGGCTACTTTTTTCAGCATAAATTGGACAAAGCTTTTCAGAGAAGACAGTTTGCCTGTTGCCTCACGGGAACTCCCCTAGATTGTTGAAAGAAAAATAAGTTTACAGCTCAGTCATTGGAGAAAGATGACAGCTTTTTTGAAAGTGTGATTCAGAGCACGTAAGCTGGATTCCTGCTCTGAATCATGCTCTGTGTCAGTCTTCATTGAGCTCATCTGTCTTCATTGAGTATAGAGTCAAGGTCTGGCCCTCCCAGTTGAGGCAGCTCTGTTAGATGCATGAAGTTAATCAATAGGAATACTCCATTTAGAGACCTGTTTTCTGAACAAA